ATATCAAAGTCACAATTCTCAAGAAGTCTAACATTGGACTCCAGCTCAGAGGTCCCTTATTTGCAGTGTGACTAGCCAATTTACTTAACCTAAATGTCTGCAACTATAACATAATCCCTGTAAAAGAATGTAAGGCTTGCTTGACTTTCTAACTGCTACTCAGTCAGCATCTTGGTAACTGGCAATTAGCAAGTACTTCATAAATATTTAATGAATAAAGTGACAAAAATTAATATTATGATTAAAATTAATCTTTTAATATTTGTTGTTTGACATTTTATTTATTAAACATCAATCTTTAATTCTAATCTGTAATATAGTAAGAATTAACTGCTTTTCAGCTTAAAGTACCTAAGATTTGTTTTAAAAATTAGCAAATACTGAAAGAACTTAGTACAAAAAATTCTCAATAAACAAGAACAGTAAGGAGGAGTTTTACAGTCACCAAAGCAGCAACAAAAAGGTAAAGCTGAATCAAGTCCATTGATTATGAAGTTGGCAACTACATCAGGGGTAAACATATGGGACCAGGGTTGAAGTTAAAAGATGAACAACTCTACAAAAGGTCACTTTAATTAAATTGGAAAAATTAGAACTAAAATAAATAGCCGTAAAGAAAATACCTATTTTACCTTGATATCTTGAAAGTCATCTTAGAATATTCCGTTCATGTTTCATTTTTTCTCAACAGAATCAATGCTTTTAATTATACATTTAGTTATTTTAATTAAAATATGTATTCTGGAGGATTACAATTTTAATGTCATCTCATGAATATCCCAGTTTATAATTTGGGCACTATAAATAAATGTTGATGTCAGTGTTTTATCCTAGTTACAATGTTCAAGAAAATAAAGCTTCAAGTACCTAAGCTGCAACTTTAACCCTAAAAACCACAACTGTGTCCTTTATTCTAAGGAACACTGAACATTATCTATATAAGTGATTCTCAATTAGAGTTAATTAATTGTGGATCCCAGTCGCACCCACTACCTACCAATGAAACATTCAATAATGTCTGAATCTAAACATATTTTTGGTTATATAACTAGTATGTGGGTTGGGGAGAGCTGCAACTAACATCACCTTGACAGAAGTAAGGTATATCACTGAATATTCTATAATGCACAGGATAGCCTCTGACAACAAAAGACTGATCCAAAAATTTAATAGTGCTGAGAAATCCTTGCTCTAAAAGAGTTGACAAAAAGCAGAGCTGACATTTTAAGTATAAAGTCTTATTATGTAAATCTTTAAATTTTCTATATTTTTAAATCTTAATTATTAGTATACTTATTTAGAAAAGCCTTCATTATAAACTATAAGTCACAAAACACATGCTAGGAAGTTAGAAATAGCCTAACAGTAGTTTTTCCTTTTTTTTAAAACAAAAGACTTTACTTCCTCCATACAAACTCTTACATAAAGAACCCAATATCTAAACCAGATTAAAAAACACAACAAGGAGTGCTCTAGTTGAAGCTGAAATAGAAAACCTAGAATTATACCTACCCAAATTCCTTCAAACCAAACCCCCAAATCTTCACCTGAAGTATCTCTACAGTTGACTAATATAAGAGGACTTTAACATTTATGGGCAAGGAAACAGGCTCAGAAAAGTAAAGAACCAGGCCACAGGGACACAAGCCTCTGGCAGTTAATACTAGGACTTAACTACTGACTTCCAGTGTTATTTTCTTTGCACTGAAAAACTTAAAGCCAAACAATATTAGGAGGCAGAGCTAAATTCACATTTCCCTTAATTTCTCCCATTCCTTCTACTCTAAAAAATGAGAGAAAAGAAATATAAATGAAAGTTTTTATATATGGGAAAAAATTAAATCTCAATTATTAAATAAAAGTATCTACTTAAAGTGTACACAAATGACTTCTAAACTCAAAGGAGCTTAACTTTTCTAGTATTTAAATTCTACAACATGATTAATTTTGCTTTGACCTTATTTTCCTATTAGAAATGATTCAGTACAATTGAATTTTATGATTTAAAAAAAAATCCCCTATTAGTAATTGCTACTACTGTCCTAAAAATCAGAAATAAGATCTCAAATATGTTGAATTACAAACAAATACAGCAATAATGAAATGTTAGCAAATCATACCTGAACGACCCAAGGGCTATTAGCAAAAGCCATGATGTCTCTTTCTTCCCAGAAAAAAGCAGAATCAGATCGCTTAATCATTTCAAATTTGCTGAGAAGTTTCATAGCATATACCTTTCTGGTGGATTTATGCCTTACCTTAAAAATTGAAAATGGAAAATAATGAACCATTTGTTAACACTGAAAGCATTGAATTTTCAAAAAAAAAATTTCTAAATGACTTTAAGACCCTTTTAAAATAATTTAACATTATAGCTCAAGTTATTTTTGTTTTCTTCTCTTTTACCGAATTTTCCAAAATAAGTAATGACAAGGATTTAGTTACCAGAAGCAGGCAACATTAGGAGGAAAAGTCTTTATTCCTATTCCCTACTCTCTGTGCTGCATCCTACTTATAAAACTTACTATGACATAACATTGTGGATAGTCTGTCCACAGCAAAGATTTGTGCTATTTAAAATACCTTTTCTTTGAATCACAGATTAAAATAGGGCTATTTTAATTCACATGGTTTAACCCATTTTAGACGTGTACAAAATACAGAACAGCTATTAAAGTCCTAGTTCCTAATAAAAGTTTCATATAGTATGGCTGCCTGAAGAAAATATGCCATACTATTCCTGAATTTGGCTCTTAAGCTTTCACATCCTTAGACACCAATGTCTTGGGGAATTTAAAGCAACAATTTTATAAATATGATACTTTCCCAAAAATATATGTCAAACACAAAAATAGATTTTTAATTTCAAAAACCTTTTTTAATATCATCAAAATAACCTACCAATTGAACTTCTCCAAATGCACCTCTACCAATCACCTTCACTACTTCATAATCTTCAGCTTTCATTCGTAAATCTCTAATTTTATTTATTGTATCTTTATCTGTATAAAAAGAAAAGTTTGTAATATTAAATCACAGATACATAATTGAATGAAACTACTTACTTTACATTCAAGTATTTGAAACACATAATGAAAACAAACCATTATTAATACAGAAGCATGCAAAGTCATAAAATAGAGAACTGACTAGTGGACTAAGAATTGCTTTACATATATTGTGGATTGTATTCACTATAGCTTTTAATGTTTTCATCAAAGTCTGACTTAACAGAATGCTTTGGAAAACAAATACTATACTACAAATGCTTTGGGGATAATTACTTACTTCTGTTCTTTTACGTGTATATCAAATTTGAAGTTTAGGACCTTGGGTAGGTATTTTAGATTAGTAAAATAAATTTTTTATAAAGTCAATATGAAGACCCTTTAAAAAGGTATAAACATCAAAAGGCAAACAATCACATACTTAAATCATATTTAAAATTTCACTAATTAAACCTAGATTTTTCAACTTAAAATACACAGTGGGAATCACTACATTTATTTATATAAACCTGTCATACTATAATAATTTACAAACCCTCACTGGATAGATATTTTAATTCCTAATTTGGTCATAGATTAAAATAGGGCTATTTTAATCCACATGGGTCAACATTGGCATGAGATTACATGGAAAACCCTCACATTTTAGACTTGCACAAAATACAGAACAACTATTAAAAGTTCTAGTTCTTAATAAAAGTTGCATATAATATGTTGTCTTTCTTTTAAAATGTACATTTAAACTCAAGAGTTGGCATACATTATGACCAATAGACACATGTAACAGCAATTTTTCACAAAGCGGGAACATAAGTACATTTATTTTTTGGTTATGTAATACCTGCTCCTGAAGGAATTATAAACAATAATTTGCTGCATAAATATTTATCTACTTTACAGGATCTATCACTGTAGATCATAAAGATAATTTTAAAAGTTATTGCTTTTAAGTAGTTCAGACAAGCAAATGAAAGAATTAAAAAATACATATTTAAAAAAACACTATAAGGGAGATAAAGCAAAGTTTTTTAAGTACTATGAAGACACCTAACCCAAGGGATGAAGTTAGCTAAAAACATAGAGTTTTCTTCCTAGAGATGATGATACTTCTGAAAGTAGTCTTTAATGAAGAAAAAGGCTAGCCAGTTGTAGAAAAGAGAACATGACAGGCAATGGGAACTGTAAGTCATAGCATAGATAAACTGTTCATCAGAAATTACAAAATTATTAATCATAAAAATATTTTTGAATCTTTTTTCTTTTATATATATATATATATATGTTTACACTATTCTTAATTCTGGACATTTTTTCACCTCAGTTGTAATCTTCATGGACTTCCCACCACTTCTTCACCCGTGTGCCATCACCACAGTCCCATGTGATCTTCCCACCCTCATGCAAAAAATCTTTTGCATATTAAAAAAATTTTTAAAAGATTTGTTTATGCATGCATACAGAACTGGGTACAAGCCAGAGGTCCAGGGGCAGTGATAGAATTCACCAGAGGCAGAGCTGTGAACAAGAGACAGATCACTAAGTACACTGCTGAGGGGAGGAGCGGGCGGGTCAGGAGAGGTCTGCCATGCTATGTGGGCCTACTCCCTGGCCAGGGATGGAACTTGCACTTGAAGCGGCAGCAGCAAGCTTCGTAGTGCTGTGCTTTAACCTGCTGTGCCACGAGGGGCCCTGCACATTAAATTTAAAGCAGCTCAATATATAAAATGGATAAAAGCAAGTACTTTGCTTCAGGAGGTTCTGTGGTAGGAAATATTGGAAAGGGGTTGGACCTTATCTACCTTAGATTCCTCCATAATGCAGCCTTTGAGAGGAGGCTTATAGGATCCATAGGGAATTAAGAAGCACAATTTGAATACTACCACATGTTGGAAATCAGGAAAAGCAGTAAGGCAGATAACCAATAGTTACATTTCAGCTAAACTACCCTGGGGAATGTAAAATATGAACTCAATAAGGGCTAGACTGGAGGCAGGGGATAATTTTAAGAATAATTTAATACTCTAGATAAAGAGTTTAAAAGTACTGAACCAGGATAATGTGTTATATACAAGCCTGAAGGTGAGAAAGGATCCCTGGTTCTGGTTATGAGAGGCTCAGAGTTTTAAGCAGGCTACAGAGTTTGCAGTTTGAGCTCAGAAAATATATCTGCTGCCTACTGATTTGGGAATGGTGTTCTTGTCTCCTGTTTTAATTCTGTACAGCATAGGAACTATAGTAAGCAGTTTGACGTTATTTATGATTCAAACATAAGTTGTAAAAAATTATATTTTGCATAACATGAAGGAAAAATGTTTTTCCTTTTAATTTTTTGATTTTTAAGTTGAATTCATAAAGAAACATTAGGTCTGGAGTAAAAATTTCCAAAGTCTATTAAACTAATTATTAAGAATCACCCTTGTGGAGAACCCTGTTGTTTCTCCAGCAGGAGCATGGAAGGATTTGCCTGGCCTCAGCAAACATGGTGGGGAAAGAGGCCTGCAGTGAAATAGTTACCCATTCCTTACCCCCATATTAACCCTCCAATGTTTGCATAATTTCACAATGAAACTGAGAATGGCTCTTCTTGAGAAAAAATGCCCAGTCTGCTCATACTGCCATACAAAATACCACAGACTAAGGTGGTTTGAACAACAGACATTCATTTTCTCAGTTGTAAGGCTGGAAGTCCCAGATAAAAGGCAGTCATGTTTGGTTTCTAGTGTGGCCTTTCTTCCTGGCTTCTTGGCAGGAGTTTAATTCTATCACTAATCCTATCTTATCAGCCTCTTACCCTTAAGAGTTCTTTTAACCTGAATTGCCTAGTAGCTTTTTCTCCAGTCATATGTTTGGACTATGTATATAGTTTGTTTGGTTACCCATCACCTATATGCTTGCATTATGACTTCTATTAATGAATCTGGGGTAGACAACAATTTAGTTCATAACAGTACTCAGATCGTAGTAAAAGGTGACGTCACCTCTGCTGTATGCTAAAATTAAACTGGATGCTCAGTTTCAGTTTCTGACAAAAATTTACAAAAATGATGGATAAATCCATGAGAATAATGTTGCCATTCACATCAGTTCAATGAACACATGATAGATTCAACTACTTTCTACAAAGAACCTGCTGACACACAACACAATGAATAGCTTTAAAACCTATGTTTTCACAAGTTTTTTAAGTTTGTCCAATTAAGCCTTTTTCTGCACCATATATAATTTTAATTACCACCACTTCAAATACATCTTTGACTCAACTTCAAACACATCTTAAGACTCTACTTCAAGTTGTACTTAATATTTTCTCAATATCTTTAAAAAAATATTCTTGCATATAGCTGTTCGTGCAGACTATACACAGGACGTAATTCTTTAGTAACTCCAAATTTAGCACTGACTCAATATAAAAGGTCAAAGAAAAATCATTCAAAATTGTTTGTCTTGTTTTTAAATTGACAATTGATAAAATAATTCAAACCCTACTATGCCCCAATACAACAACATTCAAAGCATACTTTTCTTCCCTTTTTGACACGATGGTTATACAATGGTAGTAAGAGAAATAAAATGTGGTACGGTAATACACACAGTAAAACTGAGTTAAAACTGTGTCACTGTGATTTATTTATAGTGTATTAAGCAGCAGTGTGAAGAAAGGACAATGCTGTACAATTTCTATCATAACTGCTCAACTCAGCTGTTATAGCACAAAAGCAGTCATGGGTAATATATAAAAGAATAAGCATGGCTATGTCCCAATAAAACTATTTACGGTCATTGAACTCTTAACTTGCATATTATTTTCACATTATGAAATACTGTTTCTCAGCTGACTTTTTAATCAAGCCTTTAAAAATACAAAAGGTGGGCCTCCCTGGTGGCACAAGGCTCTAAGTCTCAGCACTATCAAGCTATCACCAGCCACTGCAGCACCACAGTTCGATCCCCAAGCCAGGGAACTAAATCACAAGGCACAGCAGACATCTCCTGCCTCACCCACTGTTTTTTGTTTTTTTTTCTTTTTTGAGCAGTGTATTTCAATAGATCTTCCTGGGGATGTACTTTATCAATCTCTGCTCTAAAAGAAACTGAAGTTCCCTGTGAAGGCCAGTGGTCCTTACCTCCCATGATTTTAAACCATTGGCTCTAAATGTGAATAGGTAAACTCCACTGCTATCACTACAAGGCCAGCCTAAATCTGTCAGCTTTGATTTTCATGTTACTGTGATTGGAATCTGGCAGGTCATCACATCTTATTACTAGAAAATATTAGTTCCAGGTTAACTGAGCACCTCACTAATATTTTCTTGTAATTCTTTTATTATTAATTGTTTATTTGCCTTTGTTACTCATTTTACATCTACTATAAATTTTTATTTCAATTCCACAAGTTAATCACTTTTACAACAACTTTTTGGAAAGGAAATGTTGTCAAAAGCTTTTTCCCCAAAAAGCAACTAACAATTTTTATATGCTTAAATTTTAATGAGGTAACACTAATTTATAACATTATATAAGTTTCCATTATATTGCAAAACAATATAATTTGAGATCTGTACACATACAACACATTATGATTTCCATCAAGTCCACTTCCCATCACCATACACTGGGCCTTTTATACGCATTTCACCCCCTCCCCAATTCTTTCCCTTTGGTAATCTCTAATCTGCTTTCTGTATCTAAGAATTTGCTTTTGGTTTATTTGCTTTTTTTCTTTATGTTGCATATGTAAGAGAAATCATGTATTATTTGTCCTTCTCTGTCTGATTTATTTCAGTTAGCATACTGCCCTCAAGGTGCATCCATGTTGCTACAAAAGCATTACATTATTTTTTATAGCTGAGTGGTTTTCCATTGTGTACATCTTCTGCATCCATTCATCCATCAGTGGATAAACAGGTTGTTTCCATAGCTTGGCTACTGGATCTCCATACTGTTTTTCATAGTGACTGTGCCAATTTACACTCCAACCTCTTTGCTCCACATCCTCAGCAACTCTAGAGTCTTGTCTTTTTGATAACAGCCATTCTAACTAGTGGTCAGGTACTGAATTGAAACCTCAACTAAAGTTTTATATTTCCCTAATAATTAGTGATGACAAGCATCTTTTTATGTGCCTGTTAGCCACTGTTTCTTTTTTAAAAAATATTTATTTTGCATAGGGACTGAAATGTAGGCCAGAGATGTGGGGGATAAAAGAATTCACCAGAAAGAGTGGGGAACATAACAGATTTACTGAAATGCACTAATAAGGAGAACAGTGGGAGATACAAGTGAGGTCTGCTGTACCATGTGTGGGTTAGCTCTCTAGCCAGGGATAGAATTCAAGCTGGCAAAGTGATAGTGCTGAGAGTTAACCCCCTAGGCCATGAGGGAAGCCCCCACTGATTTAATTCTTAATGATTTTAATATACCCACAAATGATATTTCCTATAGCCCAACTTCTCAATAGCTTTGCTTCTTTCCTTCAATAACAGTATCCTTTGTATACTATCTTAGCCAGTCATTTTCATAGTCATATACGTGACGGTCATTATTAGTAATTATAATTTCAATTTCAAATCTTATACTCTAAAAGCACACCCTTATCCTAACTTAACCCCACAAAGATCAGCACCCGTACCCTTGAACATGCCGAAACACAAACAAAAGACCATATTCTAATCCCACTTTAAATTCAAAATCACACACATAAATGCCTAGAAATCTACTTGGCAGCCATTTATATCCCAGTCTATTCACTCTCCCACTCTGCTAGAGGTATTTCATTTTTTCTTTTCAAAACTCCCACAGCTCTCCCACTGATCCTCAATACACTCATGGATGAACTAAAATGTCCTTATATATTAAGCAGTTGGTATCTACTGTTTAAAAAAAAAGGTCCAACAAATGTCAACAAATGTCAAACCAAGGAACAGTCGTCATAATTAGTAACTCACACTTGTTTTCCATTGAAAATGACAAATCCTCCCCTGGACCCTCCACAAAGTGATTTCTGAAGACTACAGTTTTTTGAACTCCAGGATGTTCTGTCCCAACAGAATGTAGTCAAAAGCTCTGCGAAAGACAGAGACCAGGGCAGAAGAAACAGCTATACCGCACTTTTTCATGACCTTGTTCCTCTGTGTGCTATATATTCAATTGTTTCCAACAGGCATGTACTTGAATAACAGTCATATCAAATTTAATGTTAGAAATTTAATAGATGGTTTCACCATAAATTTCTACTTATGATTTCATTTCTCAATTGACAGCACAATTTTATCAGGGACAAACCAAGAAGACTTCTTGACTCCCTTTATTTTTCCCTTTTACACTATACATCTTCTTCCAAGAAATCACGCTCTCTCCATTTTTGAAGTATCTGGAAGCTAATAACTTTTAATCCTCTATGCTATGATGAAACAAGTGAGCATCATCTCTTCCTGTAATTATTGTAACCACTTCTTGACCTATTCCCTAAGTCTATAGTTGCCTCTCAAAATTCTACTCTTAATACATGATGGTAATTCTTAACACAAGTCAGACCATGTTAGTCCTCTGCTGAAAGCTCTCCAATGTCTTGCTATCTCACAAAAGCAAAAGTCAAAGATCTTACAATGGCCAACAAGTCTCTATATAACCTAACACTCTTTACTCTTCTGATATTCCTTGCTTACTAGTTTAAGTTACAATGGCTTCCTTGTTGCTCCTCAAATACACTGGCTATTCCTGTATGTGCTATTCTTTTCTCTCAAACACCTGCATGGTTAACTCTCAAACAACTTCAATTCTTTTCTCAAGTGTGAGCTCTGCCATATTTATCCTATCTAAAACTACAAAATTCTCAGAATGTCTAAGCTTTCTTATAGATTATAATATTTTTTCCATAGTAAACATCAAACTCTTTGTTACAGAATTGGTTTCTGCAAAATTATATATATGGTAAATTCTCATCAATTCTAAGACTAATGAATAGTATTTTTACTGTTTTTATGGTTATCATCTGGGTTGACTCAGTTAATGATGCCAGAAAGGCAGTTTCACATAGGGATATCCTACTACAAATCAAAATTAGCAAGGAATGAAAAGGGCAAACAGAGTCATATTTCATATATAGAAACCACAAGCACTGACAGGCCATTAACTAGCTATTTGGTGTCTAAATTGTCACAAATTAGCAAAGGAGATTTGGGGGAAAAATTAAGAAATTCTAATTTCAGGATTACCAAATGGCACAGCGGATTAGGATGCAGCACTGCAAACTAACAGCAGCTGCTTCAGTGTGAGTTCGATCCGCAGCCCTGACGGTGACCCACATGGTGCAGCAGACCGCTCCTGGCTCACCCACTGCTCCCCTCAGAACAGTCAATCTGCCTGTTCTATTCCCCACTCTTTCTCTGGTGAATCCTCTCACCACCTGCACCTCTGGCCTGTACCCCAGTTCTATGTGTATAAATAGTAAGTAAATTTTTAAAAAGTAAATAAATAAAAATAAAAAGTGTCAATAATATATTGTTCAATCTAACTTTCTAAAAATAAATGGGTAATTTTTACTTAAAATCTTTTAAAAATCACATATTATACTCAATAAATTCTACTTCCAGGAACTTATCCTAAGAAAATAGGATGTGATGTGGAGCCTCTACAATGTTTATTTTTTTCAATGTTAAGATCCAATAATTTCATAAGTGGAACACTAGGCAATATTTAAAACTGCTGTTGAAGAATATTTAATTACATAGAAAGATGCTCAACATACAGTGTTTATCTTTTACACAGAAAAGTTGGAGTGTAGGCAGGACTTGTTGGCAGGGGGTTTCTGAAGATTCACCAGAAACAGAGTGGGGAGCAAAACAGACAGATTTACTGAATTATGCTACTAAAGGAGGCAGCAGACAAGACAGGTGAGGTCTGTTGCACCACATGTGGATTAGCTTCCAGGCCAGGGGTCGAAACTCAGGCCATAGCAGTGAAAGAACAGAGACTCAATCCCCAGGCCACCAGAGAAGCTCAACATAGTGTGTTGAGCAAAGAAACAGAAAAAGCTGCATGTGGCATGTAAACTCTGTTTTATAAAAGCACAAATATATATTGATATCTATGGATAGAAAAACAATCCAAAGGCAAAAATGCCAAACTTAAATAACTTTCACTCTCTTTTCTACAAAATATTTTGTAGATTCTCCTGACAGAATCCAAACTATTAAGATTTCTTTCACATTCCTAATCATTTTATATAGGAACTACTAGTAAAATAATCAAAGCATCAAAAGAACAGAAAAAAGAAAAGCTTAAAGTAAATATTTAGTTATATACAGTCTTTCATTAAACCACAAAGAATTACTTACATCTGCTTAAAAAGTTGTCAATATTTTTGTTTTTTCTTAAGGCAGGAAAATCCAAATCATATACCAAAGCATCCAATCCATCCTAAACAAACAAACAAACACACAGTTAGTTTTTTGGATCATACAACACTTTCTCTTTGTATTAGTAAAGAATAAAGCATAACCTTTAGCATTAATTAATTGCTCTCTCCATTATATATTTATTTAACATCTTCTATAAGGTTACATGACTGTGAAAAGAGAAGATTTCTTTTACTCCACATATAGGTATTCTTTTTCTCTTCTAACTCTCTCAGGCATGTAAACAGCAAGCTTATGACAAACTGACTTGTAAGTGACTTCAACTCATGCCCTCTTTCACTCATATGGAAATGAAATAGTACTTACCACTTTTCCTTACTGCATTTATCTTTATTTCAAAAACACTCATCAAAAACAAATAGCCTATATTTGTAACTACAAATATTTTTTTTGTAACTGCAAATATTTTATAAGTCAGTAACTAAAAAGCAATTTCTAAAATAAAGAATTTGGTGTAAAGTAAATTGTGTAACTTAAACATAGTTTTAATTACGAAAAATATATTGTGTTTTCATAAGGGTTCTCTTCCTTGAAGCACTTCCTAAGGATATCATTAGTGAAGAAGAAACATGGGCTTTTGTTCTTAAGCAGTTATTTAAATATAAGCAAGTACAGACATGCCACAATGTGAAGGTGTACCAGTCAGTGATAACTGGAAATAATCAATTCAAACTATACTGTGTCATGTGGCAGGGGCAAGAGTTAACACCAGATAATACCAAATATTCTTCGTTTTGTTTAGTTAGGAAAATTCAATTTGCTTCTCCAGGAACCAGAAATAAACAGCAAGTTAAAATTCTCCTTCTGCAGACCAGGTACAGTCATAACCATAAAAAGTTGAAGGGGAAATTAAAACCAGACAATTATGCACGTCATAAACTTGGGGAAATGAATCCTTTTATTCACCATTCTAAAATTTTATAAGCTAGTGAAGAATAACAATTACCCAAACCTTAAGTCTATGTTGTAGTCTACTTAGGCCCTTAATAGAAATTATTAATCCAAGCACAAAAACAATTTACAAGGAATAACAACCAAAGTATATAATCCTATTATTCCACTTAATTTTATGATTGAAGCATGAAGCAAAACTTCCTTCTACTTTCACATAGCTTAATAATCAATTTAAGAATTGTAGTGGAGAGGATCTACAAGAGAAACCAATCAATGTCATGGAATTATAATAACTAAATTTTTTTGCTTTCTGATATGAGACCAATTATAGTATATTTTGAAAGAAGCCAGTGACACTGAAGAATTACTTCCACATAAACACACAAAGATAGGTATAGTTAGTTGCAAATGTAACATTTGACAGGAATTCCTAAAGAATCAACATTTCACAATTCTTAAGTGTCAACTACCAATTAGGCAGGAAAAAAACACCAGTTATGTTATCTTACAACAGAACATGAGCAAAGGGTGAAAGGGTGAAGCAGAAGAAAATTATTCACCTGAATACTGCTGTAAAACTAGTTTGCTGGATAGTTTTGAATTACAAAAATAAAACTTATAAAATATCATTTAGGATTAGTTTTACTAGTATGAACATGCTTGTTTATAAGGTGTAAAAATGCAATGGTACAAAGAAAAAAACTATATATTATGCATAAAAATCATTTATGTTTAGGAAAAACTTATTGTTAGCTCAGGTAAGAGATTACAGTAGAAACATACAAGAGACCATTTAGATCCAGAAGATAAACTGAAGTGAGATTCTTTCAGAAAGCAGGTCATTCAAGAGCAGCTATGATATAAGGGTATTTCAAAAGTCATGTAAACACACAGGCAAAAATATACACTAAGAAAAGTCCAAAGACCCAAACCTTTCACTTCAGACTGATCATAAACTCAGAGCAAGTTTAAGTGTTAAAGGAGTGCCCTGGAATAAGCCAATCAAAAAAGACTGGAAGAGGTGGTTCTGTCTTTTTTTGAGAGGGTGGAGAATGTGTATTGTTTATCTTAGCATGTGGTATTTAAGAACACCTCTGTCCACAACATTAAAGAGGAACTGGAAGAAGAGATCTCAGTAATCAAATACAATAAGAAATAGTCTTTGCAAAAACAATTTTAAAGTCTCAGAACAAATGGATTACTACAGCCATCAAAACAAAAGAACAAACTGAGGAGGAGACAAAAAAAACCTGATTTCTAAGTTACCAATTATAATAATCAGTGGACAATTTGCAATAATAAAAAATTGCAAGACATAGAAATAAACAGAATAATCGCTGATTCAGAGGAGAAAAAGCAAATGGTCAGAAACCATTCCCAAGGAAGCCTAAACACTAGACTTGTTAGACAAACATTAAAACAACTCTTAAATATGTTCAATGTGAGTAAAAGAGAATGTCAACAATGAAATAAAAAAAAAAAGTGAAACCAAATAAAATTCTGGAGCTAAAATGTAATTACTTTGCATATAAATGGATTAAATTACCCAAAGAATGACTGACAAAATGGATTTTTAGAAAATGTGCCAACTACATGTTATCTATAAAAAACTCAATTTAATTCTAAAGAGACAAATAGATTACAAGTAAAAAGACAAAATAATTAAGCAAATAATTAAAAAAGAACTCCAATGGTTAAAAAACTCAATGAGACAAAACAGTTAATGTCAAGATGAATAAAAGAAACAAAGAAGTTACATATTAACAAGCAACACTCAATAAAGGGGCTATGTAAAAATTACAAATTATAAACCAAACATCAGTCTCAAAATACACAATATTTACTGAATTTAAATGAGAAATGAACAAATCTACACATAATAGTTGGAGACTTAATTATTCATTTTAACTTAGCAGAACCACCTGAGAGGAGGTTAATAAAGAGAGGACAAGAGTAACATAAAAACCAATTATTGATAGATCTAGCAGATATACACAGAACACTTCAATCAACAATAGATGAATACACTTTTTTTCTCAAGCTCATGTGGGACATTCTACGTAAGTCTTAATAACTTTTAAAAAACAGAAATCAAATTATCTTTTCTAATCACAGTGGAATGAAATTACACATCAATAACAGTAGGAAAACTGGTAAATTACAATATGTAGAAATTAAAAAACACACTTAAAACAACCAGTGAGTCAAGGAACTCATGGGAAGTTAGAAAACAGCCCAAGACAAATGAAAACAAAAAGCACTACATATCAAACCTTAGAGAAGGCAAGGAAATCAGTGCTGAGAAAGAATGTATAGCTATAAAATTTATATTAAAAAAAGAAAAAATCTCAAATCAATAACCTGACTTTATACTTTATGGAATGGTGGTGGGGGGTGAGTGGGGTAGCAAAGAAACCCAAAGCTAACAGAAAGAAAGAAAAACAGGCTAGAGTGGAGATTAATAAAATTGGGAATAGAATAAAAAAAAGAAAATAGAAACCAAAAGGTGGTCTTCTGAAAAAACCAACAAAACTGACATATCTTTAACTAAATTGACTAGGAATAAAGAGAGAATCCCAAATTACAAAATTCAGAATGAAAGTGGAGACATGACTATTAAATGTCACACCTTGGAATATGGTTACTTTTTACTATGTCCTTTCTGCTATTTTATAAGGTTAATATCTATTTTGTGAGATTAATGTCTGGTAATTGATTCTGTCCTTTACATTTTTTGTGACCTCATATAATCATTTACCATCTATAAAAATGTGTCTTCAGGGCCCTCCCTGGTGGTGCAGCGGGTTAAAGCACAGCACTGAGAAACTAAAGCCACTTCCCCATGAGTTCGATCCCTGCCTGCCCCGGAGGTGACCACATGGCATGGCAGACCTCTCCTCACCCGCCCGCTGCTCCCCTCAGCAGTGTACTTCGTCGATCTGCCTGTTCTGCTCCCGCTCTGTCTCTGGTGAATCCTCTCACCCTCCTCATCTCTGGTCTGTGCCCCAGTTCTGTACAAATAAAAAAATAAATCTTTAAAAAAAAAAGTGTCTTCAAACTAAAAGTAGTTCATCAAGCGTAGGTTTTAAATCAGGTAATTTTGTAATCTCATTTTAACCAATCCATTTGTTCATTTTTCAAAAACTTTTCTACTACAAATTGATTTATGCCCCTTCTATTCTTTAAGATAGTGACCTTTTATTTTTCCTATGCCATGAAATGTTGCTCAAAGAAATTAAAGACTAATGAAAAGACACTATTAACACTAAATACTAAAATGGCAGTATTATGGTAGCCTATAGATCAGTGCAAATCATTATCAAAGTCCCAACAATTTTTCCAGAAATAGAAAAGACCTAACATAAAGTACATACGAGAAATTCAAAATACCCCAAATAGCCATACGATCTCAAAAAAAAAGTTGGAAGACTTTCTGATTTCAAAACTCAGACACAAGTTTATATAAAAATCAAAACAGGCCCTCCCTGGTGGCGCAGTGGGTTAAAGCACAGTACAATGCAACTTAAGCCACTTCCTCAAGAGTTCGATCCCGCCTGCCCCGGAGGAGATCCACATGGCGTGGCAGACCTCTCCTGACCCGCCCGCTGCTCCCCTCAGCAGTGTACTTCCTAGATCTGCTTGTTCTGTACCCCACTCTGTCTCTGGTAAATCCTCTCACCCACCGCATCCCTGGCCTGTACCCCAGTTCTGTATGAATAAATAAATCTTAAAAAAAAAAAAAATCAAAACAGTGACTCTAACCACAAAAAAAAACACAAAAGAATGAAGAGTTCACAAATAAGCTCTCAACCATACAGTCCAGTGACTTCCAAAAGAGTTTCGGCACTCCCTGGTAGTGCAGCACTGTGTGTCTCAGCACTGTGAAGCTATCTATAGTGACTATATCATGAGTTGGATGCCTCATAGTGTGTACAAACCTCTCCTGTCTATCTGGCTGCTCCCCTCAGCAGTATATTTCAATCAATCCACCTGTTCTGCTCCCCACTCTCTGTCTCTGATGAATCCTCTCACGCCCTGCACCTCTGACCTGTACCCAGTTCATGTACACATAAATAAATCCTTTTAAAAAATGTTAAATGGTCTATA